TCAAGGTGATTCAGTGTTCAGGAAAAACGTTGAAAAGAAAAACTTGAAGCGTCGTAAAATAAGAAAAGCAGAAAAGAGCAATTTTGAGTTTGTTTTGAAAGACTTTAGGAAAACAATTTCGTATGGTCCTGATTATGTTTGTTGTGTATGCTTTAAGTTGTTATTCAGAAATCAAGTATTGGAGTGCACCAAAGCTAAGTACTCAAATAATACATGTATAAATGAAAAGTATTTGCACATTTGCAACAATGCATGTAATAAACATTGTGAACTTGCTGAATCACCAAGATGTTATTTATGGATTTGTTTCACATGCCACAGGAAACTGCTAAGTGGGAAAGTCCCTGCAGAAGCCAACACAAACAATTTACAACTACAAGATATTCCTATTGAACTTAAATGTTTAAACAATTTGGAGCAGCATTTGATTGCACTAAATATTCCCTTTATGAAATTAATGAATTTACCCAAAGGTGGTCAGCATGGGATACATGGACCTGTTGTATGTGTACCATCTAAAACGATTGAAACTGTAAAAATGTTGCCTAGACCAGAGGCTGATGATCAATTGATATCTGTGAAATTGAAGCGAAAGTTGTCGTACAAAGGTTATTATGAATATAAATTTGTCAAAACAGCAAATGTTATTCAAGCCCTTGAATATTTACAAAGTAATAACAAATGGTATTCTGATGTATCTATCAATGAAGAATGGAACAATTATTTATCTGAAGAAAAAATTGAAGGTGAAACTGCTAATGTAAATGATCGAACATTTGTAGAAAACAATGAAGTGGTAGGTGTGGAAAACAATGACGAAGAAGTAGAAGAGAGATTGTGTGGCATTGTCTTTGACACAAGTCTTCAGCCAGTCGACAGGCGGCAGAATGTAGTTGACGAGTATTTTCACGACATAATTTGTTGTGCGCCATGTGAAAACAATAGCCCTGTTGCACTGTTAAATAATGAAAGCAATGAGGCAAAATCATTTCCAGTATTATTTCCAACAGGTCAGCCAACATTTCACGATGCCAGAGATGTCAAACTAACACTTGGACGTTATTTGCACAATAGATTAATGCATGTAGATAATAGGTTTGCAAAAAATACAGAATTTATATTTTATGCTCAATCTTTATATGAAATTCAGCAAATCTTATCAAGTATTTCTATTGCGTTGCGGAAAGGATCAGATAAGAAAAATGATTATAGTAAAATAACGGTGTCTGATTTAAAGAATGTTAACAAAGTTGAAGAGATTTTGAAATCTGATAAGGGTTATAAATTCTTAAAACAAATACGTGGAACTCCACCTTACTGGCAAGCAACACAGAAAGATGTAGTAGCAATGGTTAGGCAGATAGGGATGCCAACATATTTTCTTTCATTTTCAAGTGCTGATCTTCGTTGGGAAGAAATAATGAAGACATTGTTAAATCAGACAGGAGACCAAAGAAAAATAGATGAATTGGAATGGGCAGATAAATGTAATTTGATAAAATCTAATCCAGTGACAGTTGCCAGAATGTTTGACAAACGCTTTCATACTTTTTTGAGAAATGTGATTTTGTCTGAAGCACAGCCTATTGGTAAAGTCATAGATTATTTCTATAGAATTGAATTTCAGATGAGAGGAAGCCCACATGTCCATATGTTAGTGTGGATCGAAGATGCCCCTGTTCTTGATGAGGATGAAGATGAGAAAGTAATCAGTTTCATTGATAAGTATATCTCTTGTGTTGTGCCATCGCAAACTGAAGATCCTGAACTGCATGAAATTGTTACAAGTGTGCAGATTCACAGTAAAAAACATTCAAAGTCTTGTAAGAAGAAGGGAACAAATTGTAGATTCAATTTTCCCAGACAACCTTCGGTAAAAACATTTATTGTAAGACCAGCTGCAGTGGATGAAAATGATGATGATGCCTTTGAAAAAGCAAAATGTTTATTAACCTCGGTAAAAGATGCACTGACGGGTGAAAAAAGGTATCAAAATGCAAGAGAACTTTTTCAAAGTCTAGACATAACACAGGAGGCATTTGAGGATGCAAACAATCTCATAATATCCGAGCAAAAGATTATTATTAAGAGGAACCCTGAAGACGTTTGGGTTAATCAATATAACCCTTCCTTGCTCAGAGCCTGGAATGCCAATATGGACATTCAGTATATAACAAATGTCTATGCATGTATTGCCTACGTTGTGTCATACATGTCAAAATCTGAAAGAGAAATGGGCTTGCTCTTATCTCATGCAGCATTAGAAATTAAAGAAGGAAACGAAGACGCTAGAAAAAGCCTGAAAAAACTTGGCCATGTATATATGAACAATCGAGAGGTGTCGGCCCAAGAGAGCGTTTATCGTGTTTGTGGTTTACGATTAAAAGAATGTTCAAGGAAAGTTGAATTTATCCCGGTTGGACCTAATCCTGTGAGAATGAGTCTACCACTAAGTGTAATTAAAAACAAACCAGATGATGATGGAAGTGCTTGGTTGCCAAATAAGCTTGACAAATATAAAGCTCGGCCTGATAGATCTGAATTTCATAAAATGTGCCTTGCAACATTCTGTTCCCACTATAGAATGCTAAGTTCATCAGAAATGAATGGGAATAAACAGAAATCAAATGTATTTCAATTAAAGAAAAAATTAGGATACATTCAAAAAAGAACCAGAAGTAGTAATGCAATAATAAGATATCCTCGATTTCCAAAGAATGAAGCATCTGGAAAATACTTCTTGAGTATATTGCAGCTATTTCTGCCATTTCGTACAGATGAACAATTAAAACCACCAAATTTTCGAACGTATGAAGAATTCTATGAAAAAGGGTCTGTCAAATTATGTGAAAGTGAATTGCAGACAGTAAAGTCTATAATTCAAGCAAACATGAAACAGTATGAAAAAAGTGCTGATGAAGTTGAACAGGCAGAAGAGTTCCTAGCAAAATTTGGACCACAGGAAGATGCATGGGGTCTTTTGTGTCCCGAAAATGAAAAAGAAAGGCTAGAAAACCCACAGCCAAATGTAAATGACGACGATGATACAGAACCTGAATTTGTCATTCCAGATTTTGGACTGAACAAAAATCAAACGTCTATGATAGAATGTAATCCATGTACTGCTATTCCAAGGCCAGAGGCTAACAAAATGATCCGATCTTTGAATAAAAAACAACTACAAATGTTTTACAAGATAAGACAATGGTGTTTGGATAAAGTTAATGGTAAACAGCCTGAACCGTTTTATACCTTTATTACTGGAGGTGCTGGCACTGGAAAAAGTCATTTGGTAAATTGTATTTATAATGAGGCAACACGCATTCTCAGCAAAATTATGCAGAATCCTGATGATTTGTCAATACTAAAACTTGCTCCAACAGGGATTG